TACCGTTTGTAAGAAATCAGTCACTTGTAAATTTGCATTCGCAATATAAAATTCTAGTTCTCTAAGGACAACGGCTAGTTTTATGAAAAGTGGAGCACTCGTGTGCGACTTGGCATCCGTCATTGTGCTTTGGGTACTTCTGGCAAAATAGGTTTCACAAGTTGCTTCGGCTTATCAAAGAGGTTCAAATCACCTGAAAGGAGCACACCAGTTGCTCGTCGACTGACATCATGGCACCAGCGTTGTCAAATTCTCCGCAGTAATTGGGTGCCGAGAAGATGGTCACTAGCTGGCGTCTGGCGAAGAATTCGTAGCCATCTTCGACGACCTGTGTGTATGGCAAAAGCAAAATCACAAGTTCAAATAATATAATATACATTTATATAAAGACTATAAGCAGAAATACATTACCGACAAAAAACAAGGAAGACCGGGATGGCGCTCTCTGGCTCATTAGCCGTCATCAGCCAAATATACCGAACTCTAGGGGTGGCGACCTCCGAGGCTCGAACCTGTGGCTTGGTTATTTGGAAGTCCAACGCTGTAACCACGGCGCCAAGGGCTCGTTACCTTGCCGGTTTCTATCGGTAATATGCACAATGATAGATAGGGGCTCACGGATCGGTTACGGGACTCGCCGATTGGGGTTCGCTCTCGGGTCCCAGTGTAGGCCTCACCCGTTCACACCATGCCGTAAAAAAGTAGACGTCACAAGGACCTAGTTGTTCATATTCGTACATGAGATAATTAGCACAAAAATAGTACATCTCCCTCGTACTAGGACTACGTGACCAGACAAACTCGGCCCGTCCCTGTAGCAGCAAAATACTAAACATGGTCAGTGCAAAAAGAATGCAAGTTAAGTCTGCCAACTTTTTTTTTCATGGTGGGCGAAGCATCGTATGTGAGAATGCGCACATCTCACCACCTACGTCGTGTGTGTGTGCGCTTTCGTTAAGTTCGTTCAACTCGAGCGTGGAATCATCACGTGACACACGTAGATGGAGGTCTTCGC